TCAACTGCAGTGAATATAAAGGTTTTAGTGAAAAGCCACCCGTTTTTATTCTTATGCCTTTAAAACCTCAAATACAGAACGTATTATCACGTTTTCCATCAAATTATTTTCGACAAAAATCTAATTCTACATCGGCTAATTCTTCAAATATTTCTGAAGGTGTAGTATACAAGAAAGTTCTAGAAAACGAAGGAGAAGATTTTATTTCATTGGTTATGAATGTCGACGGAATCGAAATTTCAAAAATTTCTCACTCTTCATTATGGATTTTAACTTTTATCATTAATGAGTTAAGCAAACCTGAAAGATTTCAAATACAAAATGTTCTGGTTGGTGGTATTGGAGCAGGTTTATCAAAACCAACTCGAAATGAAATGGCTGCATACTTGCAACCGATTGTCAGTGAATTATTAAGTTTGGAAAATGAATGTTGTTATAAAACAAGCGATGGAACTCATTTATTTCTTAAAGTGTTTTTAATAGCCGGTTCGATGGATAAGCCTGCACAGGCGCTTGTGCAAAATCTTACTGAAGTGAATGGAGCCTTTGGTTGTGGCAAATGTTTAATCAAAGGTATGATTGATTTGAATACTTCAGATAGATCATAGTATCGTACAAGACATGTAGAAAAGGAAAGAAAAATCAGAGAAGTTATGAAGATCAGAAAATATTTAGTAAATAAAAGACTAAACAAATAAACTTGAAAATTAGAATATAATTCATGATGTTTATGTCAGATTGTTTCACCTTTAAAATAAATTTGTTTTTAAGCATCATCTAAAAACCGATAGATATTTGATTTTTACTCTGGTTTATTCAATTTTAGTATAATTATATTCTCAATTTTATTTTTCAGGGATTACAGTACCAACTAAACCTGAATCCACAAAAAAAGTTCGAGTCTTTCCAATTCGAAAAAATGATGATCATCCAAAACTTCGAAACAATTTCACCTATGATGTCAAAATGGCAATACCAGAAAGCTTTCGACCAAAGAAAAAAAATGCTCTTCGTGATTACATGTATGGATATATGGGAGAATGTCATCTACGAGATTTACGTTATTTTGATGTCGGTCGAAGTTTTGCATTTGATACACTTCATAACTTGTACAGAGGAACATTTGTAAGTGTTTATCAAATATGCTCGTTTTAAATAATTAGTAAAGCTTCTTTTGATAAGTAAGGTTCATCAACATTGAATTTTGATTCACTGATCTCTAGACTGAGGGAATCATGACACAGACATCCTCATTTTTTAAATAAAAATGAATTCTGTACAATGATGAGTTTTACGAGAAATCTATATATATAATGTTCAGTGTCTGTATGTTTCTCTGTCCAGGTCAAAGGCTAAAGGCCAGGAGTTAATGGTCAAATAAGGCTATAAGGGGAAGGCGCCAAGGGCTATTATATAGAGGTACCCATAGGTCCTCAAGGGCTATTATATAGAAGTACCCATAGGCCCTCATGAGCTATCCTATGGGGGTACCCATGAGTCCTCATAGGCTATCCTACGAAGGTACTCATGCGTTCTCATGGCTACCCTATGGAGGTACCCATAGGCCCTCAAGGGCTATTATATGGAGGTACCCATAAGTCCTCAAGAGCTATTATATAGAGGTACCCATAGGTTCTCAAGGGCTATTATATGGAGGTACCTATAGTTCCTGAAGAGCTAGCCTATGGAGATATCCATAGGCCCTTAAGAACTATTATATGAGGCCACCCATGGATCCTCAAGGACCGTCCTATAGGATACCCATAGGTTCTGAAGGGTGTAAGACAATAAAGGGATAAGGCTACAAGAGGTACAAGGGATATAAGACTATAAGGACATAAGGCTAAATGGACTATAAAAATATGTGCGCTATAAGAGTATGAGGCCGTAAGGCTTTGATCTATATACATAATATCGCGTATCTGTATGTCTGTTATCGGATGAAAAGTTAAACGTCTGAAGTCATACGTTAAAGGAGAAACCAGCTGTGCAGTATGTATGGGTACTCGCTAGTCATTAATATTTGCAACATGTTCTATACTACATAATATAGATATATTCAAACCGTTGACATCAAATATTAAAGGAGGCAAATGTGAATGATGAAGCGTTTGCCTTAGTTGAATATAACGACTAAAAATGGTGACTTGTCCCAGAGTAATGGTCATTTCTAATCCACACATGGTTAGTTATGACACAAACATGCTTATTTGAACCATAAGAAAGGTCAACTAGGGCATAGAAACGGTTGATTCTGCCGTGCAAATGATGAATTGATCCATAAAAACAACCATTTGTAGGAAGAAAATGGTCACCTCTGTCAAATAAATCGTCCCCTCTACTACCAAAGTAGCATTTTTGTACCATGAAAACGGTTACTTGTACCACGTTTATGGTACATTGTACCATGACAATGGTCACTTGCACCAAGACTACGGTACGGCGTACCATGAAAATGGTCATTTGTACCAAGTGTTACAGACAGAAAGATAGACACAGTTGAATTTTCGTTTCTAGACCCTATCCTTTCAGTCTACGGAAAATCCCATTACTATGCAAACAT